CTGTGAGTGGTTGGTTCTTACACCCCCTTAGCATAAAACTGAAATGTAAAAAAATTTAAACAAAATCTTTATATAGCAAGTCTTCTGAGTTAACCCTTTTTAGACTCTGACAGATGGCCGTCCCATCAACACTTCACTAGAGATTGATTTCACAGGACGGGCAATGCATATATGCATTTTAAGCTGGAACTTTTTTTGAAAACCACAATTGGCACCCTATGTCCATTACTTTTGAATTGAACACAGTTTTAGGTTCCTGACCTTCAATTTGTATATATTCTGCCTGACTTCAGTATTTTACTCATCAGCTGTTGTGAGGGTGGGGGGAGTGTAATGTAAACAGAGCTGGACTCTCTAAATCGCCACGTGCTAATAATATAAACATTTGCATGTCTAATTCACATTCGATTCCTTTATTTTTTTTTTTTTTTTCCTCTAGTATGTGGAGCTCTGTTACATTTTGCTTTGCCTTCGGATATATTTCGGGTCATTTCCTTTTTACATCAGAAAGCCTCAACTTCAGTCTATTATGGACCGAAGACATTATTTATCAGAGGAAGAATACACTCATATGGTAAATGAACCATTTACTGACACAGATGAATGAGAGTGATGATTCATTTTCTAAAGAGTTAGAAAGTGTTACTTATAGTGATTCTGATACGGACATTTTGTCACAGACAGAGCTTAGTGAGTTTTTGCCTTCAACTTCCCATGAAAGTGTGACTCAAGATACTTCATCTTGGACTCTCGTGCTAGAGGAATTGCATCCCCATACATTTACTGGAACACCCAGAATAAAATGGTAAATGCTGAAAACAAAACTGATTTTTTTAATATTTTTTTTTTTTTATTTTATTTATGATGATCTACTAAATTTGATTGAAGAAACAAACAGTTTTGCTCAAAATGCTCAAAAAAGTGCTCTGTCAACTTCTAAGTCAGCCAGATCTTCAGATGTAAATACTGAGAAGGTAAAAGTATTTTTTGCAATAACAATACTAATAGGCATTATCAAGAAGCCTAATTTGAATATGTATTTCACTACAAATGAAGTATTCACTACTCTGTTTTTCAACAGAGTTATGCCTAGAGATACGTGCAATGTAGGACTTTGCATTTCTCCATGTTTCGAGATTTATCACACTCACTCTTCATTTTAAATTTTGTTACTTCTTACTGTAAATAGTCTTTATTGTATTGTTTGATTAATTTTAAACTTTATTAAGGATTCTTGTCAATTAAAACTTTGGAATAAATTAAACAGAGCTTCCGAAAATTATTTTATAAGATAAGCAATTTTTTTAAATATACTTATTTTATAAAAATGTAAAATAAAGAAAAAAAAGGTTATTAAATGCTAATTTTAACATATATAAGAGCTCAAGTAATAATCTAAAATGGTATCAAAAATTACGATGCTAGAAGGGAAGCTTTTTTAATATTTTTTCTACAATTAGGCTTAGCAATTCAACCCCCCTCCCCCCGTCCTGTGAGATGACTGCCTTTGATTCCCTTCCGTCCTGCACGAGCATCTTAACAAAGAAAAAGCTGTTGCGAAAGGATTAATAAGCAATGCTTTCCATAAACACTTTTCTAACCTGAATTTTTCGTAAGTCGAAATAGTAAATTTCTGAAGTCCCGTTTGGTAAGAAACAGCAATATACTAAGACATTATTTTAAAAACAAAACATCATACAATAATACTTTCTCAGATGCAAACCATAAAAATATGAATACATGTAAAAGTGTATAAAAACCAAACAAAATAAAATTTTTCAAATAAAAAAAAATCTGAAGGGATTTCAGATTTTAAATTACGTCCAAAGGGGCTTTTTTTAACATTTTGTGTGTTACATTTATTTATTAAATATCAAGTTCTTTGCACTGAAACCATAAAATTCAGTTCAATAGCAATGTCGTAAAATAATTTTGAAATGAGCCTACCTTTAGAATTTCCGATACACAGTTTTACCAAAGTCCCCCTTCCCCCCGTAGAGTGTTGCCATGGCTCGCTTTTAAATCATCGAGTTTGTTACTAAAAAATTCAAGCTTTACAAAATATGAAATCAATAAAACAAATTCCAAATTTCATATTTGTCTTCCACATGCCCATATTCGTAGAAAGATTACATCATTCAAAATTCGGTGGCTCTATGTACCATTGTTTTATCACAATGCGAGAAATATAAATCTATTGATGCAGATTTTTCATTATTTAATTTCTTCAAATATAATGCAGTTCTTAACATTTGGTGGCAACAGTTTGAAAAGTGAAACAGACATTTATAATGATTCAACGCAAAATCGCAAAACGAAAACAATAGTCCTTCAGAAACAAAGACCCTTTGGACTAAAAAGAATGTCTTGTGAATTTTGTTTTGTAATCGGAGAGCTAGCACTAAGGTGGATGATTATAAAGACTGATCGAAATGGCTTAGGAACCTGAGTGCCTGGGCTTGAAGCCCCACTCCAAATCAAACCAAATTAAAAATTTTAAGGTTTTGTATCAAATAACTTAAGGGGTATATGAGGTATATGGAAAGGAAAAGAAAAAAGAAAAAAAGACTAGCAGCCATGTATGTAAATTTATGTAAACAGAAAGCTATCTACCTGGTGACTAAACAATAATAATGTAGGTACAAATCAAATAGTGGCAAAAATGTATAATACACAGATAATTTAGAAAAGTACATAATAATAATCTGATATAAAACATATTTACAAATTTCATGCAATTATCTGGGCATTTATTTAAGATGGTCATTGGCCTTTTGATATTATTTGAATTATTAAAACCATAATTACAGAAATTCGTTTCAGAATTGTTGATTCACTCCTGGCTTTTATTAAAACATTTAGCTAGACGATAATATGTCCTTAGCTGGACAATATTTAGTTCTTCGTGTATCTTGTTGTTATAAATTACTGTAATTTGCCTCAATACACTATTCTGGAAAGTCTCCAATCATTTCTGTAGGTTTTGCAAGAATAAGCCCAGACTGGATAGGTGTAACACAGCATGGGATGCAGAATGGATTTATAAATAAGTAATTCATTACCAATAGATAAAATGCTATTTTAAGAAATTAGGGAATAGAGTCTAGCTTGATATGCTCAAAACATCTGGACAAGAGATGTAATATGTGGGGTCCATGATTGGGAATTTGGGAGAATCCCCCCCCCCCATGATAAGAAACTCATTTAACCGAAGGGAGAGTAGGTCGACAAAATTAAGATCCTTATTAATTTTCTTTTTTGTGTGTGAATAAGTTTTTTTCATGTTGATTAGGATTTTCCAGTTCTTCAGCCATGAGTTAGGTGTCTGTATGCGATTTTGCAAATATTAACGACTGGACTAAAGAATGCATTTTGAGCAAGGATCACTACATCATCAACGAATATTGCAAACACGGTGTTGGATGTATGTGGAATGTCATTCACATAAATATTAAACAAGGTGGGCCTAATTACCCTTGTGACACCACTAAAATAGCATGGTCGATGGAATATGTACCTAAGATGTAGGGCTTAATCATGTTTCTAATGGGATCTCGAAAGTCCAGTTCGTGTATTTTGTAAATGAGTGCATAGAGGCAGAGACTGTAAAGAGAAATGCTGTTTCCTGGCAGCTTTTACCTTCTTGATGTTGAAAGCTGAGAATAGTCAGAATTGTCATCTTGCTGATACTATGACTGACATTTCAAAAATATATTATAAAGTTAGACCTGCTTTTGTTGCATAAACTAGTATCAAACTCCTAACAGACATAGAGAATTATTGCTACATCTGGACAGAACTACGAAGTCCTAAGAAGGTTTGTAAATAAACCTTTTATTAAATCAGATTTGGAATGTAAATGCACAACTCATGCTTACAATTCAGCCAATCATATGTGGCGTAAGCTAGTAATCAAAAATTACAAAATTCCATTTAACGCAAAGTTGGCTCATTAATCTAAAAAGCCTAAGGATTTAAATATCAGCATTATAATGCAAAGCTGAAGAATTAAATCTAATCTGAGCTAGCACAAACCTAGTAAAGTGCCCTCAAGAAGCAGAGCATGCTCTGAATTAAATTACCGAAACCTTTCTTTAAGTACTATCTCTTTCTACCTCATTTACATTCTGATAGAGAAACCGAAATGAAAAGTGACAGTAAAGATCCAAAACATAAAATAACTGGTTAGTGAATAATAACAGTAATAACTCTGCAATATCTGGAGCAGATTTTGTAGTTATTTTACTTTATACAGTATCTGCACTTGCTCCCACCCCTGTGACTTTGTAGATAGAGAAATAAAACAATGAAACTAGCCATGATATACAAGTAACGAAACTAGCCATGATATACAAGTAACGAAACTAGCCATGATATACAAGTAACGAAACTAACCACATATTATCTGAATTCAAGAAATATAGGTCATTGAAAGAAGAAGTTATTTACAGAGTATGTGTTTCTAATTGGTCACAGCTTTTATGCCCTTACAAAATTTGCACATACCTTATTAATTGGGGGTTTACTATACTCGTTTCCACACCACAGCAAGGTCTTATTGCCTAACAATGAAGGTCAGCTTATAAAAGCCATAACATAAATGCTCCCTAAAGAAAAGGATGACTTTATAGAGAATATTCTACTGTCTAGAATTTAAGTTACACACTGGAAAAACCATGAAAACACCCATGGAACCAGCCTGTCAAATAGAATTTAAGCCCAGACTGAATTACCAGCAATTAGTGGAGATACCACTCATCTACAGATAAGACTCTTTCTAAATTAGCAGAAGATAATATCCACATTTTAAACCCTACAAAACATGTAACAGTAAAACTTAAATTTCTACCTCAAACCTACAAATAACTACTTTAATTATAATACAACCAACATATTTTTTTGCTTTATTTCTTTATATTTAATGGAGTCAGAATGATCCATTCAATTAGACTAAAAATATTTTTTAAATTAATACATTATTTTAGAATAGGCAAACTTACTTTTCTGCCCTCGTCCTCCTGTGGTCTTTGAACCTGGGCAGAAATCGGATTGCTGAAGAATATATTCATTCATCACACGTCGTCCAAGGCTTGCAGTAGCTGGCTTTGGTAATGTTCCTGCTCCTTGCCACCGGGAAGAAGCAAAATATAAAGGCGGGGTACCAGGACTCAATATATGAGATGCTTTTGCTTCTAATGTTGCACTGTGATCTGGCAGTTTGCTTCCTTCTGAACACAAATCTTCTGAACATGCAGCATCTTCAGGCATTAACATTGCTTCTACATCTAAATTAAGATTTTCTAAAATTTGAGCATGTCTCTGCTGAACTTTTTCCACTTCATCTAAAACTACTTTTGAAGAATAAGTGGAAGATCTGTCAGAATCTCGAGATCTAGTGGTACCTGGAGGCCATCTAGGTACACCTGTAAAACCTTTTACACTTCCAGAGTAACAAGAGGAGTCTTCATGAGACTGCTCTGGTATCTCTTCATATATATTTGGTTCAGAGCTACGTCTTTTATGACACTGTTCACTGCTTTTTTGAGGAACACCAGCTGTTCCCTCTCCAGCAGAGACAACTTCCTTACGAGCATAATTAGTGCGTGGAGACATGAGACCATTTGTAATCAAAGAATTAGATCGACGATACACTGGCGTTGCAAAGGCTTTCTTCTTCTTCTTTTTTTTTTGGAAAGTAGCAACTTTTTCTGGTATATCACATGTACTTATATCAGGTTCAATGGCCAACAAAGGGTTATCAAACCCATGTCCTTTTTCATATGGATTTTCTACCTTATTTAAGTTATTCTTCTCTGCCTCAACAGCAGCACACTTTTTCAATTCACTATAGTAATATGGAACCTTACAGGCCATTTCAGAATTACCATCATGAAACATGCCAGATTCTCATACATTTAACTCAGCATATCTGTAAATAGTGTACATACATAATACATATAAATTTATAAAACAAAAATCCAGAATCTTCACATAAGTAATGCTGTTTTCTTATTCTCAGCAAACCTTAGTACCTGAAAAGAGAGTAAACAAATAAGTCAAGCAGTTTGTCAGAATCAAATATAATCAACATAAGACTGTAAAATAAAATTTATTAAATAAACTCAGATTATTGTTTATTTTTATATGACACAATAAAAAAACCTGAAATGAAAGTAACAGTTCACACCTTTAATGAGCAACTACATTAACATTTAGAAAAAATGCACAAACAAACTTTCATAGAACTTCCAGATACTCAACGCAAGCTTCTTTTGTCACGTAACAAACATCAGTTGCAGTTCAGTTATACTTGTGTTCAAAATTTAAAGAATTTACATAGTTTGTTAATTTTCTTAAAAACTGATCTACTGAAAGTACAATTATGCTTCCAAAGAAAAAATGCAAATCTTTAGTATTAAATACATGCGTAAAGGCAGACTGTATCGAGATGGACTGTTAAAAGCAAAAAAATCATTTCCTATGCTTCATTCATTCCTTTACCAACTTTCCTGGCAGCATATAGTCATATTCAAACACAGGCAGGTGAACTAAGTATTCACCAATGTTTGGATGAGGTACAGAATCTTTGAGAGATAATAATAAGTAAGTACAAGTAATATTATTATATGATATATAGTAATATTATTATATTGAATGATGTAAATTTGAGACTTCAAGGAAAAAATCAACTTATTAATAATATGTTCCAAACAATAACAGCGTTTGAAAGAAAGTTAAAATTTTGGCACAATCAAATAAAAGTAAAAGATTTAACACATTTCAGTACTTCGGCTGCATATAAACCTGCGAGTTACACAAAATATGTAAAATATGCTGCATCAATTTTTGATTTAATTCAAGAGTTTAAAAGAATATTTCGAGATTTTCAAAAAAAATGAAGAGTATTTCAGCATATTTTCTACCCCATTTTCTATGGAAACAAGTAAATTACCTTCAAATCTTTAAATTGAACTGCAAATTGACATTCAACTGAAAGAAAAATTTGAAAATTTTTTTTACTAGAGTTTTATAAAGATTACCTATGTCACAATAAATATCTTAATTTTCACAATCATGCTTTATTAACCACTTGCGCTAAAAAGACGTGCCACGCACATCAAGATGCTTTTGTCTCAAACCGCGAGCGACGGGAACACCACGTCAATAGGCATTTATCGCAAAAATTAAAATAGCGTGGTGCACACGTCACCTAACAACGAGATTGTTTATTTCTCGAGTTACAGCTCTGGATTGCACTCGCAGACGTGGAGTGGTGTAAATGAGGCACTTTACCGCTTGTTATATTGAAGCGCACGGCACTGCAACCGTCACTAACCAACATCTTGAAAATGCATTAAGAATTGCAACCTCGTCTATTGAGCCAATACTGATTTGCTTGTTCCTATACAATTCCTATTCCATCTTTATAAAATCCAAACTAAATGAAGCGAAACTTTTATAAATTAATAATAAATATGTACATATACATATCTAATACAACTAAAAAAATTAATAATAAAAAGAAATTTATTTTAATAAAACAACGTAGAGCTAATTTTTATTTCAATTTGTTATGTGTGGCCCCGCAAAATTTTTCTCTTTGCAATGCGGCCCCGCAAATTTCTTTCTTTGCAATGCGGTCTTCAAACCGTCATAGTTTAGACACCCATGGTTTAGAGCATGCCGATTATGTTTGAAAAAAATACATAAATTATATTTAGTAGGTTGCTATATTTCCACATTAATATTTAACTGTTTTAGTTAAATATGTTGGTTATTTTCCCCTTTGTTATTATTTCTCTTTGATGTAACAATTCTAGGTTAAATTCTGGTTGATATGTATTATGAACTGCATTTTATTTTGTATTTTTTAATATGACTAAATCTGTATCTGAACCTTGAGTTTCTAGTGATTTATTAACAGAAAACTTAATAAAACATACTCAAACCTCTCAGATGCCATGTGGATAACTATGTTCTAAAATTTGGTGCAGATAGCGGAAGGCTAAAAGAATGTTTAAAATGTAAGCTTGTCATAAGGATAAAAATTTTTTCAATCACAGTCAGTTTGCATAAGCTAACATAAATTCTTGATACAGCCTTAAAATCAGATATGTTCTTATTTTTTTTTTTTTTTTTTTTTTTTTTTTTCAAAAATTATACTCTTATTCATTTACTAGTCAATGATGGAAGCAATTATAAAAACTGTTCAAAATATGAAATACAAAGCTTAATGATTTAACCTAATTTCCAATTTTAAAATAAAAGTCGCAATCTCTTTTCAGAGTTTTTTCACCCCATTTTCCACAAATTAAGAAAAATAATTAAAGGAATATTGTTATATACACAATTCAAATAAAAACTATGAATCTTATATCTAAATTTTTAAATTTTGCAGAATTAATGTCATAAAAAAAGTTTCCCATAGTGCTCCAGAAGCCTTCTTAAAAAGATAATTTTATTCAATATGCTACATTTATTCTAAGGTCAGAAATAGCAAAATTCAATATAGAATCAAATTTACAATTGAATTAGAAACCAGCTAAATGTTTACATTACTTATAAAAAGCACATTTGATATAGTCTACAACTGGAAATTACTACTTTTACAAAATAACCGTTCTCAAAGTTTTGTACATATAACTAAACTTTTATGCTCTGAAACTAAAATCAGCTACAGTTAGCCTTTTTGCTACATACTAATAGCTAAGGCATGACAAATTTTTTAAAAAAATTTGACTGGAAGCTATCTGTTCCAAATGGCCACTGGGATTTAAGGAGTATCACAACCCCTATACAGACAATGTTAAATTGGTTGTTTTCGATGTACCTTTTCTCAAAATCTGCTGTAGATACACGCTTGAAATATTTTGTGTAATTAAAGCATACCTATCTGATTATACTGAAATGAGATTTTGAAACATTTTGAATTTTAGAGTAATTTACAGAATGTTTTGTTAGGCATAGTAAAATTTAGCACTTTTTTCACACAAAATTATTTTTAAAATTTTTGTTTCTTAGTTTATCACAAAAAGCTCATTTCATTAAATATTCAGAAACCCAATAAATAAGCCATAAAAATTTTAGATACTTGTGAGCAGTAGTTCTTGAGAAAAGGTACACCGAGTATAAAAAAATACTGTTTGGAGAAAAACGCGTTTTTATGTAAAAATCCTCGTTGATCAAAGTATTTGATGACAAATTAAAACTAGATTTTTTTACAGTTCTAATTTTCATAGAGATTAAAGAATGGTATTTTATAAAAGATAAAAGTGTAGAGAATTTGAAAATGCAAAAATCCGAAATCACCATTTTTTGAAGATTTTGGGGTTCCAACACCCCTTTAGAAGCCTAGACTTACTGTTGCTTTCTTGACTCGAGACTTTTTTTTTCAAAACAAAAAATTCTTTTGCAAAATGTAAATTATGTTCATTCATGACTGTATACAATTCCTATTCTTAACTATTTTATGCAGTATCAGAAGATGATAGGAGAAATGACAAATTTCATGCAAATATAAAAGCTATGAACAAGTTGCCAAGTGTACCTGATACGAAGGTTGCATGTTCAGATTAAAGTGTTGTTTTAGGAAATCTAATGGCTTTTCATTTCTTTTTGCATTTACACAAGATCTTCCCATCATAATAATTGGTACATCTGTATCTATATTGAACTCTTCATCAGAAACTTGATTCTGAGTATCTCATAAGTGCAATAAAGAGAAACAATTTTAAATCGGTTGAATCAACTGACGGTTGAAATGCTCTTTCATTTATTTAAATATAATCTGTGATGTTGAAAATCCTTTTGCTTTTCATAACAGCATTTCATTCATTCCTTAATACAACTTATTTGCTCGCTCTTTCTTTTCTTCTTCACTTACCTCAACAGTTACTCACTCTTTTCTCTGTTTCAGCAAATTTTTTTGTCGACTCATTTTATTAACTTCAGTGAAACAAAATTAAAAAACTGCATAACATTCATAATTGCACCCAAAAAGCAGCTGAGCAGGAGCAGCCCCCCCCCCTCTCCAGATGAGACTGCGTGGAAGTGGAGATGCACTGTGGATACGCACAGATCATGATGTCATTAAAATTCCTGTGATTTTTGCTAATTTTGTCACTCAGCTGTGGCTGAACTGTAATTCCAAATTTCAAAATTCCCTTTGTATTTTGTAGTGTACACCTTCGTCTATCAAATGAAACATAAACAAACACTCTATGCGGAGATCTATGCATTTCTGTAACCCACAAAAGCATCACAATTTTTCCATTTCATAAACCACCATGCAGGAATGTAAGGTCTATGTTAAAAACTCTTTTTTTGTGAACTGGATTGCCATGCAGCAAATTTTTGTAGCCTATCACATCTTAAACAGCTGTTCAATGCCAAGGCTATGCATGACGCTGAATTTGTTCACTTCTCCAATGTTTTTGCTTAAAAAAACATCAGAAACTTACAAAAATTTGACATTGTGCACATTGAACATTATATACAAGTATATTATATGATACATTACTAATTATATCATTAAGATTGCCATCATGTAGTTAGATTTCATTGCTAATGCTTATGTTTGCCACTATATGACACTCCATTAACTGAAAAGTATCAAATAATTTTCATTTCATTACAAGTTTCACCTACTGGGATGTCACTGTTTACCAATTGGGAGTCTTACTCGAAATCTAAGAATGAGAATTACCGTATTTGACGGCATATAAGACTCACTTTTTTCCTAAATTTGGTCTAAAAAAAAGTTACCTGTGTCTTATACGTGAAGGACACAGGTTAACTTTCAATACTGAATGCTTTTTAGCCTGGATAAAGGTCTAGACACACATAACGTTTTCTACATCTGCCATAATTATTTTGCGCATGCGTGAAATATCTGTCACCAAAAAGCGGCAAAGCTCGAAGCTGACGTCGAAGTTCGAATAGGTTCGATGGTCACATTACGTCTATGGAGCCTTTCCTTCTTTACATAGACTTTCTTTGACTCAGCCGACACACGTGTTGGTATCGGTGCTAC